GGATTGGATTAGTCAAAGAAATGTGCCTTTGTGACAGCTTCTAGGTGGTGTGGTGGTTAAAGCTATGGACTTGAAGTCAGGAAGACCTGAGTTAGAATGCTGCCTCAGATGATTATTAGCTGTGTGACCCCCGCTCTGGGCAAGTCACTTAACTTCTATTTGCCTCAGTTATCTCATCTGTAAAATGGGGATAATAATAGCACCTACCTCCCACGGTTGTTGTGAGAATCAAATGAGATATTTGTAAAGTACTTTGTAAACCATAAAGTGCTATAAAAATGCTGCCTATTATTAGTTTTATTTTGCAAATGTGTATTTGCTATTCGTCACTCATCTGACTCTTCATGACCCCCACTGGGCTTTTCTTGGCAAAGATACTAGAGTGGTTTGCCATTTCCTTCTCCAGCTTATTTTACAGATGAGGAAACTGAGACAAAAAGGGTTAAGTGACTTACCCAGGGTGAAACAGCTAGTGTCTGAGCCAGCTTTGAATTCAGGTCTTCCTGATTCCAGACCTGGTACTCTATCCACTGAGCCACCTAGCCACCCCTACAAACAGATACAGAATTACCTAAAATAGAATGGTAAAAAAAGACTTTTTCCTTACAAGTAGGAAGGTTTATTTAACAAACCATCAATGGGGGGGGGGGGTGTATATAAAGAAAATAAATTCAAATCCATTGAACTAATGGGTTGACCTGAATGCTTGTTGTATCCAATGGAATAACAATCATGGGATCCCCAAATCAAATTTTAAAATGCCCAATACCAGCTACGTGCCACAGGACCAGACATGTCGAGCTGGAAGGACCTCAGAGACCATTGGTCTCCTCCATCCACTCTGTGGGTATCTCCTCCAAAGTTATTTTTACGCTGTCTCCTGCTTTGGAATGTAAGTTCCCCAAGGCCTTGGCTTCCTCATCTCTTTGCTTAGTGCCTAGAACATGGTGCTTAATAAACGCTTGGCAATTGACCTGGCCTAACGCTCTCATTTTACGGATGAGGAAACTAGGGCCCTGCTAACAAGTGGCAGGTCACCGTTCAAACCCAAGTACTCTGACTCCAAATCCAACAGGTTTTCCCTTGTCTTAAGTCTTCTTTAGGCTCTGACTGATTCAACACCTTATTCACTACTGCATTTATGGTGCTGAGCTTCTCCCCATAGGATTAATTCACCAGGGATAGTCAAAGTCCATTTAAAGGCAGCTAGGTGGTGCCATAGTGCACAGAGCGCTGGGCTTGGAGTCAGGAAGACTCACCTTCTGAGTTCAAATCTGGCTTCAGAGGCTTCCTAGCTGGGTGAACCTGGCTGGGCAAGTCACTTCACCCTGTTTGCCTCAGTTTCCTCATCTGTCAAATGAGCTGGAGAAGGAAATATCAAACCACTCCAGTATCTCTGCCAAGAAAACCCCAAATGGAGTCACAAAGAGTCAGAGGTGACTTTTCAAAAAACAAGGCAAAGATTGTGCATTAAATAAAGCATTGATCCTGAAGTCAGAAAGACCTGAGTTCAAGTCCTGCCTCAGACACTACCTGTGCGACCCTGGGCAAGTTACTTAGCCACTGCCTGTCTCAGTTTCCTCTTCTGTAAAATGGGAGTAACAATAGCATCTGCCTCCCTGGGTTACTGTGAGGATAAAATGAGATAATATTTGTAAACGCCTTGTAAACCTTAAGGCACTGTATCAATGCTAGCTAGTATGATATTTCTTGAGCAGCCCTGTGATCTCATATGTGTAGGGACTAACTTCCTCTCATGGGGGTAGATGGGCCCTTTTCCAGTAACATATAGTCTTAGAGAGTTGCATAGGACACTGAGAACTTGTGATGTATCTAGAGTTAGGCATTCAGTTGTATCATCTAGGATTTCCTAACTTGCCAATACCCCCCAAGCTATCTCAATGTGCATGAATGAATGCATGAATGAATGAATGCATAAATGTATGGTTTATTATTTTTTTTACAACTTTTTTTTAAGCTAGGCAATGGGGTTAAGTGACTTGCCCAGGGTCACACAGCTAGGAAATGTTATGTGTCTGAGACCAGATTTGAACTCAGGTCCTCCTGAATCCGGGCCGGTGCTCTGTCCAATGAATGTATGATTTATTGAGCACTTAGTACAGTGCTAAGCACAGTGCTAAATGCTGGGGATATAAACACAAGCTAGACAGTTGGGGGCCCTCAGGAAGCTTATATTCCAACAGGTGGCCTAGATTCCGGGCAAGAGAAGGCAAGGGCGAACTGTAAGGATCACATAGCTTCCCTTCGTGTTCCTCTATTATAGCTCAGTAAGCCTGCAATTATTATATTCCTTGAGAACCCTCCATCTCTCACCTCTATGCCTTTGCACTGGCTGTCCCCATGCCTAGAATGCATTCCCTCCTTACTCCTGCCTCTTGGTTTCCTCTGGCATTCTTCAAGAGCAAATTCAAATCCTACTTTATTCAGATCTACCCCAGTCTCCCCACCCCTTTCCCCACTCCTCCATTCCTTTCTCACATTACCTTCCTTTTACATCTCATATGTACTTAGTTCCACATTGTCTCCCCCATTAGAATTTCCAAGAGCAAGGACCATTTTTTTTCTTTGTACTTACTTATTTATTTTTAGTTTTCAGCATTGGCTTCTATAAGATTTTGAGTTCCAAATTTTCTCCCCATCTCGTCCCTCCCCCCACCCTAAAACAGCGTGCATTCTGAATACCCCGACCCCTAATCTGCCCTCCCTTCTATCTCCCCCTTCTCTCGTCCCCTTTCCCTTCTGTTTTCTCTTCCTTTGTACCCCCAGTGCTTAACACTGTACCTGGCACACAGTAGATGCTTAATAAGTGCTTCTTGATTGACTTTCCCACCATCTTCCCTTTTATCAGACCCAGGTTCTATTGGTTAATATTACCACAAAGGAACTTGAGGAAGACAAATAAGTGTAGAAAGCCCTTTAGGCAGAATTTGAACCCAGATCATTTCCCTCCAGGACCAGGGCTCTGACAGCTGCCACACTAATGCAAAAGACTTAAGAGTAATCAGTGCAAAGGGATTGAGGTGCTCCTGGTCTTGGTGTTCCCTGCCCCCACCTGGGGCACTTACACACTCAGTATTATCTACTCTCTTCAACAACGTTTTCTGCATTTGTCCAGGGGCTACAAGACTTCCTTGGGGTCAACCCAGAGGCTTTGCAGGAAGAGAGGGACAAGAAACAGCGGAAAGACAGAGTCCATTTCTCTGTCCTTTTTCCATCTAGACAACACCCACTGCCAGAGGGTGTGAAGGACCATACTTCTTTGCCCACTGCATCGAAGGTTACAAATAAGGAATTGTAGGAAATCCATTTCAAGGCACCAGACAGCTGAGGGGGATACGCACTCTTGAGGCCCCCAAAGACCCTAAAACTGACATTAACATCACGCTTTAAGGTTTGCAAAGTGCACCATAGCCAAGATCTCCTTGGAGTGTCACTACGCTGTGGAGTTTGTTCCACAGATATCATTCTTCCCTACTTTACAGAAAAGGAAACTGAGGTACACAGAGGCTAGGGGAGTTGCAAGGTTAGCGAGCGTCTCAGTGGGAGTCAAACCACACACCCTGTTGGCTCCTTTCAAATGAAATGAGGGGAAAAATAAAAACCACCTGAAAGTTTCAAAAAGGCAATTAATGTTGAGGGTTGCTTTGAATGCCTTTCCTATTCTCCCCAATTGTAAGTGCCTTCCCTTCTCTGGCTGATTGCTGAAGAGGTGTTACCTCAGGCAAACAGACCTGGGAAAGGCCTTTGCTTAAAAAGGCCAAGGTTTCCCACTGCATCTGGGCCCATCGCCAGCTGTCCTGATCTATGTCTCACCACTGGACTCCAATGACTCTAGAGGAGAAAGTGAGGCTGGTGACCTGGCACAGCCCTGCCTCACTTAAATCCAATTCACTTGCAAGTCATGGCACCCTCCTGATGGCATTGGTCCTCTTCAAAGGATGAACAACAACAATGTATCTTCCATCTATACTGTATCTATCACTTCCCAACCAAAAATACTTTAGCTTCTCCTTGTATAGATTTTGTATAAATTGATCTGGGTACATTTTGCTTTTCCCCTGTAATAGAAGGATAAGATTGTTGAGATTAAGCCCTCTTTCATTTCTGACAGCCAATAAACGTTTAAGAAGCATCTACTATGTGTCAAAATCACTATGCTAAGCACTAAAACGCTTCAGGTAGTTGCTTTCCCTAGGGAGCTCCCAGTCTAAAGTTTTGCCTCTGTAGCCCTGTGTCCCAGGCCACTTGCAGAGATCGGCCGCTGAGTGTTGGGAGGGAAGCTTCCCCACCTGGGAGTTTCCAGTCCCAGTGAGGTCATACAAGTCCAGGCCCAAACCTCTATCCCTCTCCCCAAGGCCTAGCCCGGCAAATAGCACATAATAGGCACTTGAATAATCATTTATTAAGCGCTTACTATACTCCAGGCATTGTGCTCATGGAATTGAATAATGAAGATTCCCCATCACCGCCCTTCTGATTCCCATTCTGGAGGCTCCTCTGGGCGCCCATAGTGCCAGGCCCTTCACTTTTCATGTCTGTAATTAGAAATAATCTCCCTAGGAAAATAGGAATCCTGTTGTCTTGGCCTCACAGGGTGAAGTCTGTTCTAAGGCCCTGCGCCACACTTTCCAGCATTAAACAAAGTCGAGGGTTCATGCGCCACCCCAGGCCTGTCTGTGAGAAAGAGCAGGCTCATCTAAAGCCTTTTTTTTCCCTCTCTTGGGAACAAAGGAGCAGCCATCCCCCAGGTCCAGCCCAACCTGAAAGACCAGATTTGCTAATTAGAAGTCAGGCAGGAGGTCCCATCAACCCTCCCTCTGCTCCTGACTTTAACCTCTTCCTTCCCTCCAGTCTCAAGGGCTGCTAACCTGCAACGCCAGGCAAAGGTGGTTTGATTCCATCAAAAACAAACAAACAACAAAAAAAAAACCCTAAATGTTTTCTCCCCACCCATCCTGCCTTTAGCATTCCCAATGCTGACCTTTTTCCAGGTTGAGCAGGTGAGGCTCTCCTTCCTGTGTATGAATCAAGGTCCCTGAAAAGAGACTATAACAAATCTCATGATTCACTGCCACTTGAAGTCACTTGAGTCTGTATATGAACAGGGCTATTTAAAGCAGAAGGACAGGTTGTTCATTTTTTTCATTTTTATCATTAAGAAGACAAATATTAATATTTTCCCATGCAAAGAACTGAAAAAGAGAATTGCATTTGAAACTTTGATACTAAACTCAACTCTATTATATTATAATGACATATTACATAACATTATTATCTTATACTATTATACTATGTTATATATATTATATTAAGCTTGGTTTTTTCCCCCATCTCCTATGGTGGTTTCAACATTGACCTGCTAATCTCTGTTCTCTTCAGAAGTTTATTGCTTTCTTTCTTTTAAAAGAAAATCATTGATGTCTTAAAAAAAAACCCAACTTCACTGATGTCTTTTGTTCCTTCTATTTACTCAGTGTATCTTTTTAATGAAATTTTAATGTTCTTTTCTTTTTCTTTTTTTGGAATTACTCTTACTGTCTCCTCCTATCTCTCTACTAACTATCTCCTCCCTATCTCCCTATTTCTTCTACTAACTCTTCCCTATCTGCCCCCAACCCAAAGGAACAGCTTTATAACATCAATTATAGTCCAGCGAGACAAATCCACACATTGGTTATGTCTGAAAGTATCTCTCTTATTCTGCACCTCTGGATTATCACCTCTCTTCCAAGAGGTAAGAAGCATGATTTGTCAGCAATCTACAGGGCTACATGACTGGTCATTTATTGACCATAAGAAATGAAAGTGCAGTAAGAGGAACCTACTACACCTAGAGGCATCCCATTGCAACACCTCTGATGGCTGGTTGGATCAATGATAGATATGTAGGTAGATAAGATGAGATTAGATTGTAAACTCCTTGAGGGCAGGGACTGTCTTTTGCCTTTCCTTGTATCCCCAATGCTTAGCACTGTGCCTGACACATAGTTGTTTGTCCGTCAGGAAGACGATGCCGTGACATGCAAGTGAATTGGACTGAAGTGAGGGAGGGCTGTGCAAAGTCACCAGCCTCACTTTCTCCTCCAGAGCCATCTGGGTCCAGTGGCAAGATACAGATCAGGATGACTGGAGATGGCCCAAGATGCAAGTGGGGAACCTTGGCCTTTTCCAGTTAAGGTCTTTAACAGTTTCCTTTTGGCTGAGATAACACCAATTCAGTGATTAAGACTAGGTAAGGAATGAGGCAGAGAATGGCCTCTTTTACCTAGTCAAAAACAAACAAACAAATAAACAAACTATGGGAGGGGAAGGGGAACCTCAGGGTTTCTGGAATTGCTATTTACATTCGCTCTGAGCCAATCAGGGCCCAAACAAGACCAAGTGAGGCTTGGGCTGGGACCTACTGTTGGTAGTGGGTGCTTAATAAATGACCTATTAGCTAAGCAGAGCATATATTAAGCATTTAACGTGTACCAGATACAAATACAAGTAATACAAGTAAGCAGGACTGCCCTCAAAGAGCTTATATTCTAATGGAAGAAGATAACCCCCTCCCCGTAAAGAGGGAGATTAAAAGGGAGACATTCCCATTGCAGCATGGCATGGCGATGACCATGAGGTGGGATGGAGGCTGGGAGCCAGGCAAGATAAGGCTAACGTTGGCCAGTGAGAGTACAGTGGGGTTCTGGGGCAGAGTCCAGGGTTCTGATGGAGCAGAAGTGGAGGTGAAGGCTGGAGGAGAGAAAGCATGAGGCTAAAGTTGCCGCTTTGTTCCATTCTCTGTTCCTAGCTCAGTTTTCCCGGCCCAAACGTCATCACCATAGCCCAAATTTATAGGGTGCTTGAAGGTTCACAAATCACTTTACATGGATTACCTCATTTTAGTCTCTCACAACAACCCTGGGAGGAAAGTCCTATCATAACTACCTTCATTTTATAGATGAGGAAACTGAGGCAGACAGAGGTTAAGTGACTTTCCTAGTATTACACAGCTAGTGAGTGTCTGAAGACGGATTTGAACTTACCCCAAATCCAGTGTTCTGAGGAGCTAGACCCCATAAAGGAAAAACCCTGGACTTTCCCACATGGTCAGATCTCTGGCATTTGCCTGAGGCTATAATCCCATCAACTGGCCTGTCATTGTGCCTAGGCCCAATCTGTTAACCTAAACCTAGCCTGGCCCTCCATTGTTTTACCTCCCTACTGTCATTGCCCACCCTTAATCTTAAATAGGCTCCATTCTCCCTTGGCCATGTGGTCCAGGTTCCAGGTGTTCTGTTCACCCCAGCTTACTGGCCACTCCTATCTAGATCTCCTTAGACCCCTCCTCCAGTCACCCCAAACTACTTGGCCACTCCTAGATCCTTCCCACAGGCTTTCTGTATATAAGATCCATCTTGTCTGCATTAAGGGGCTCGGATTCTTATAATCTAGCCACTGCTCAGATTTTTACAATCTAGCCAATAGCTCACAAATGCTCAGATTCCTTAAGAGTCTAGCTAATATGGTGGATCTTTAATAAACCTTGTCTCTGGCTGAAGGAAGGCTTGCGTCAAATTCTTTTGGGAGGACCCACGTGTTGTGATCTTGGGGTCCCAGTACCCCTAAACCTCTAGACTTCATCATAACCACTGGGATATCTAACTGCCTAATTCTCCTCATTAATCCTCCCCATGACAGCTCTTTCAATGCTTGAACACAGGTATCATCACCCTCCCCACTCCCCACATTCTTCTCTTCCTTAGGATAAACACTCCCAGTTCCTCAAGTGGATCTTCCTATGACATGGGCTCAAAGCCTTTCAGCTTTTCACCAGTCTGCTAACTCTCTATCTTTTCCATCTTAGTCAATAATCAATAACATTCATTAAGCACCTACTATATTCCAGGCATTGTGTTTAGCATTCAGGATATAAACAGGAAAAAAGAAAGACAGTCCCTGCTCTCATGGAGCTTACAATCTAATGGGGAAGGCAATGCACAAAGGAAGCTAAAAGAGGGGGATGAAGGGAGAGGAGGAAGAAGGTGATTGGCAAGGGGATGGTGGAGTCCAGTTCAAGGAGGCAGCTGATGGGAAATGAAGAGGTACCTGCTCTTGGAGTGCCTTTAAATGGAGCCTTTGGTAGGAGTCGTTAGCTCTGCCTTCCAGCCCTCCAATCAGAGGGGCAGAGGGTACTGAGGCTACTGTGCTGAGGTGTAAGTACCAAGCTCACGCAGTCTTGAAGGATGACAAGTTTGCTGAGGGGTTGGGAGAGTACAATCCCAGGAGTGCAGCTGGTAGGGGGAATAAAAGACCCTTATCAGCTAGTTTACCCTTGACGGTTTTTTTGTTTTTTGACTAGGTAAAGAGGCCATTTTCTGCCTCATTTCTTATTAAGCCTTAACCACTGAATGGGTGTTGCCTCAGTCAAACTGAGGTCTGTTAAAGACCTTAGCTTGAAAAGACCAAGGTTCCCCACTGCAACTTGGGCCATCTCCAGTCATCCTGATCTATATCTGGCCACTGGACACAGCTGGCTCCAGAGGAGAAAGTGAAGCTGATGATTTTGCACAGCCCTCCCTCACTTAAATCCAATTCACTTGTGTGTCATGGCATCACCTCCCTGATATCATGGTCTTCTAGAACAAAGGACAAACCACAACACCCCTTGGTGCTCAGAACTATATACAATATCCAAATGGAGTCTGACCAGGGCAGAGGACAGAAGGATAGTTCTTACCTCCTTATTCCCGAAAGCTAAATCTCTCTTCAGGCGTCTCCAGATCTCAGTGGTTTTATCGGCTATCACGTGATACTGCTGACTCATAGCGAGCTTGCGTGCTCTATAAACCCCAGGTCTTTTTCAGACAAACTGCTATCTCACCATGCCTCCAGAGTCTTGTAGCTGTGATGAAGATTGTTTTTGAACCCAATTGTAAGACTTCACATGGATCCCTCTGGAATTTCCTCTCCTTTACATTCAGCCCACTGCTCTCCCCTGCGAAGGTCTTTTTGGGTAATCACTCTGTTGGCTACTATGTTTGCTATCTGTCCTAGCTTTGTGTCATCTGCAAGTTTGGTAAGCAAGCCATCTAAGCCTTTGTCCAAGTGACTGAAAAAATGTTCAACAGACTCCAGACAAAGCAGAGATCCCTGCATCACGTCACTGAAGACACCCGACCCACTGACACTGAACCATTAATAGCTTCTGTTAGAGCAGGGGTAGGGAACCTGCAGCCTTAAGGACAGCCTTAGAATATAGAATTTGGATTCAGTCAAAAGGCCCCATGTAAAGACCTAGAAGGCCACATGTGGCCTTAAGGCTGCAGGTTCCCCACCCCCTGTTTTAGAGCTAAGCTATTTAAGCAGTTCCAAATTCATTAATTGTTTTATTATCCAGCCCATGTTTCTCCATCTTCTTCACATGCTTTCTCCCCCTGCGCCCCGCCCCCCCCCCCGCCTCGACTGAGTAATCTGAAATTTATGCCACTTATAGTTTAGACATAATTGTTTGGACATTGTCTCCGCCGTTAGACTATGAGTCCTTGAGAGCAGGAATCATTTTTTTCCCTTTCTTTACTTCCCCAGAACTTAGGTCAGTGTCTGGTATACAGTAGGCACTTAAATTCATCATTGACTTTACTGAGATCTAGGGTCAGTGTATCTATGGCACCCCTGATCTATCAGTTAACTATTGATGAACAGAAATCAGATGAGTTAGTTCTGATCTGTCCTCAAAGTCATTCTGGTTCTTTATATTCACTGCTTCCTTTCCCAATGTTCGCTCAGGACCAATTATAGAATTTTTCCAGGAATAGAAGTTAAGCTCACTGGCCTGTAGTTTGCTATTTTTCTTTCCTTTTTTTTTTTTTGAAAATCAGGACGCCTGGCTTTCTCTCATTCTCTACACAATCTCGATTTTAAAAATAGCATTTACTTAAATATTTTCATTGCTAATTTTGGCTTTTACATCACCTTCATTTCCATGTAAATCCTTCTCCCCATTCCCTACCCAGTTGACAAAGGAGAAAAAAAGGAAAGAGAAAAGAAGAGATGACTCAAAACCAAGCAACCTCCCGTGAAGCCATACGCAATATTGCCGCCCGTAGTCCCATTACTCTCCACAGAAGGTAAAGAGACAAATGTCTTCAACTCTTCTTCAGGACTGTTAAATATCACTAATGATGACTCAGTTATGACATCGCCTACTTCTTTTAGTAGCTGAGGACACAACTTCTTGGTGGCAAGATAGCACCAAGGATAGAAGGGTCCTGGACCAGGAGTCAGGAAGTGTTCAAATCCAGCCTCAGATACTTACTAGTTATGTGATCCTAGGCAAGACACCACCTCTTCCTTGGTTTTCTCAACTGTAAAATGGGAATGATAACAGTACCTACCTCCCAGGGTGGTTGTTGTTGGTTTTTCATTTTTTTAAAATTGGTGTTGTTATTGGCAACCAGGGTTAAGTGAGTCGCCCAGGGTCACACAGCCAGTAAATTGTCTGAGATTGGATTTGAACTGAGGTCCTCCTGACTCCAGGGCCAGCACTCCATCTACTGTAAGGACCAAGCGAGATAATATTTATAGGGGCAGCTAGGTGGCGCAGTGGATACAGCACCAGCCCTGGAGTCAGGAGGACCTGAATTCAAATCCGGCCTCAGACATATAACACTTACTAGCTGTGTGACCCTGGGCAAGTCACTTAACCCCATTGCTTAGCCAAAAAAAAAAAGAGAGATAATATTTATACAGTGCTCAGAAGAGAGTTCAGAACACAGTAGGTGCTTAATAAATGCTTATTTCCCTCCCTATTCCCATGTGACTTGAATTCATCATGGGCAGCTAGGGGCTTTCTTGTCATTTCCTTTCTTACCTTGGGCAACAGCTCTTTGCTCCCCATCACTGGTCTGTGATTTCTCCTCGGCAGAGAAAAATGGAGGAAAATAAAAAGTGGGCTGGGTATGAGGACAGAACCATTAAAGTTATCCAACTCAGCTGGCAAAAAGCATTTACTTTGCAGCTGTCTGTCATTAGCTTTATGAAATTGAAATTTAATAAATTCTGTTTTGGCATAAAATGTTGCTGTAGGAGTTCAAGGAATTTGGAGGAGAATACGGTCTGGCTTGAGATCGTTTGGCTCAACTCCCTTATTTCACAAAGAACCTGAGGCAGAGAGGCTGTGACGTACCAAAGGTCACAACTAGAAATCAGTTACAAGACTGGGGTACTGGTCTACCAAGCAGCAGTCCAGTGTTCTTGTGGCTTTGTGGCTCTATGGTACTGATTCAAAATCTATGCAAAATATTTACATTATTCATAGTAATGAGTGACCGGATGGATCGTGTCTTATGAGGTAAGAGCACAGTCAGGAGGACCAGAAGTCATAAATCTTGTACTTTATCAGTTTCTGGAACTGACAAGTTAACTTCAGATGAAACACTTAACCTCTTCATGCCTGAGAAGCAATCTCTAGAAGTGATCTGAATAATTGCTAACAGAGACTTTGTACCTTTAGGGCAAAGCTCTCAGGCTCTCACACTAAAATTTGACAAATCATGGATTATAGGTTTCTTTCATCCCGCCATGATCCTTTATTTCCTTTTTCTAAAAGTTCTCCACTTCTAGAGTAAATTCCACAATAAAGATTTGACAACTCTTTCAAAAAGTTCTGTTTGAAAATGGTGGCTAAATAGTGATTGGTTTGACAGTGAATGCTGACCACCATTTCACTAGAGGCACAACTAAGGTGGGGTGATTGGAGCTTTGGGCTAGGTTGTCGAGATTTAGAAGACACCAACAACACTGTTCTGGGATATACTTTTTCCTCTAAGAGGCTCCCCATGAACTACCCTTTCCCTCTGTCCTTAAAGCTGCCCTCCTCCCTTACCCCAAGTGAGAAAGTTCCCAGTTTCAACTCTGCATTTCCTCAAATGAATGCAGGCTTTTGTCTGACAGAACAAATTTTAATTTTAACTTAATAACGTGGCTGTGCTAGCTAGGAGGTTTTTTCATCCTTAATTACCTACTAACCATCCTTTTACTTCAACAAATGTTTATTAAGTGTTTATTGTCTACAGAGCCCTCCAATAAAGACTTACCTACTCCAATGGCTCATGTCAGTACAGAAGTGACTCTGGGCTCTCAAAGTCATGCCAACAGAAGACTTAGATCCCAGCTTCCTTAAAGACAGGAAGTAGATCATTTTGTTTGTCATCTCTGTATCCCTAGCTCCTAGCACAAAGCTTTTTGCATGTGGGTGTTGAATAATGGTCAACGATTTGAAGAGAAGCTTTGGCATATATAAACCGTCAGGGTTTTATAGAGGACTAGAGAGGCAGCTGAGTATCATCGTGAGTAGAACACGAAATTTGACCTGAGTTCAAATCCTGCTTCAGAAACTTAACTAGCTATAAGACCTTGGACAGCTTGCTTGACTTCTCTCTCCCTCAGTTCCCTCACCTATAAAATGGAAATAATAATAGCTCCTACCTCCCAGAATCAAATGAGATCACATATGTAAAGCAGTTTGCAAACCTTAAAGTATTAATTTTATATAATACATAATTTTATATATAATAAATATTAACTATTATTATAATTAAAGACAATTGCTATAAGTAGCAACGTTTGTACCCAGAGTAAATAACATAAAATACAAGCTCAATTCAGTTGAAGGGCAGGATGAAACAACTGGGGAGGCCACTTCTCCAGCCTCCTCTCAGAAGGTATGCGCCTGAGTTGTGAGGAGGGACAGCAGTGGGAACCATCATTTGCAACTTTCTTCTTTGAACTAATTATTCTGGCTAAGTAGTTACTAAATTGTTTTTTTTTCCTAAACTGCTGAAGGACTGAACCTTAGCACCCTCTGAATTTCAGTGCCCTGAAACAAAGCACCAACCACCTGCCCTAGTTACAGCTCTGCCTGGGGCAAATTATTTGTAATCTGGGGAAAGTAGTCAAGATAGGTGCTCATGAACTGAGGGTTGGCCACAAGGGGATGAACTTTTGGGACCACAAAAGTGAGGGGTTGCAATATGCACTGGCACAGAAGTAAGGGTGTACAGAGCACTGTTCAAGGCACTGGAGGACATATTTAAAGCTTCAGTGGATCTGGGATCTCACTGACATGAACATTTCTTCCAGTGATACAGATGGCAACCCACCTGTGCCCACCCATCCTGTATGACTCTTGTCTATGTCCATCCATTGGTTTGCCCCACAGGGTCTGCCCAGTGTGTGCTGGGCACTTTCCTAGCTTCCCAAAGACACCAGATGGGCACACAGGTTATCCATTGTTTATCTGTCTTGTTCTCTGCACATGAGCAGCCTACTGTCTTTGATCTTGCATTTCTTCAATGCTTTTGGTTCTTTTTCACATTTCCTTACTTGTTATGTACAGTCTTCCAGTTCCCACCTACCATGCATCTTTCCCTCCAAGGGATTTTCCATTCTTCAGAGGCTTCCATGTTGCATAAGGTACAGCCTCCCTTATCACTTGGACCACTTACTCTTTTGTGTTATCCCTTGAATGGCTGGCCTTCTGGCCCTTAAAGCTCACACACCCCAAATCACTGAAGTCCTGGCTTCCTGTCTGCAGCCATCAGCCCCATCCAGACAAAAGATTATAGTAACAAACATAAGACTCCAAATTTCCTGAGTATGATGTACCTTTCCTATTTCCTCTCTAGTTTATTTGGCCTCCATTTCCTAATCTGCCAAAAGAAGGGGGCTGGATAGATGGATGCTCTGAGTGGATTATTTTGTGCACAATCTAGATTTTATATCTTATCCTAGACGTAACAGAGGACCATGCAGGGTTGTTGGGCAAGGGAGTGACAGAGCTGGTTTTTTGAGAAAGTAAGAAACCATCTTAAAAACGCAAATTATTTTGAGTAATTCTAGAATAATAAGAACCTATAGTTCTAGCACTAATTTATATCACATCATTTAAAAAAAAGTTTGTTAACTTCCTTTTACTCTATTATTGCTGCAAAGGGTTAGGTTAGAACACCTCCCATGAAATTGGCAATGGACACATACACTGTCCACTTCCTTTATTTTTTAAATTAATTAACTTTTTGTATTTAGTATTTTATTATTCCCCAGTTACATGTAAAAAACAATTCTTAATATTTGTTTTTAAAACTTTGAGTTCCAAATTCTCTCCCTTCCTCCCTCCCCAACCTCCCTCATTGAGAAGGCAAGCAATTCACTATAGGTTATACATGTGTAGTCATGCAAAACATATCCATAATAGTCACGTTGTGAAAGAAAACAAAGAGAAAAAAACTCAAGAAAAATAGAGAAAGTAAAACAAATATGCTTCAGTCTGTATTCAGACACCATCAGTTCTTTCTCTGGGGATCGTAAATTGTCCCCTTCCTTTAGAACATGCATGATGAGATTATGTGTCCTCCCCCACCAAGCAGAAGCTTGCATATCCAGCTCCTAGGGAGGGTTCTCCAATCCAATCCTTGCTCCACTGATAAAGTTAATAGGTCAGAATGAAGATTTTTTTAAAAAAAGAAATGAAATTATTTAAGTTAGCACAAGAAATATAGATCCTTATTGATATTACTCTCGGGGTGCAGTGGATACAGTGCTAGGCCTGGAGTCAGGAAGACCTGGGTTCAGATCTTGCCTTAGACATCTACTAGCTGTATGGTCCTGAGCAGGTCCCTTAACCTCACTCAGCTTCCTCACCTGTAAAATGAGGAGATTAGCCTCATTGGTGTCTGATGTACCTTCAAAGCTCTAAATCAATGATGCTGTGAAAATGATTTCTCTGAATGTGTCTTCTTTCATTTTCAAAAATCAGGTCTGATGGTGTCACTCTCCTGCTCAAGAAACTTCCATGACTCACTATGACTTCTAGGCTAAAACGTAAAATAAGTTTATGAATAGAATCATAGAATCAGAGCCAGATGTAAACTTAGAAGTCATCTAGCACAATTCCCACATCTACAGATGAGGAAAGTAACAGAATACCACAGACTGCTAAATCTTAATTTTATTTGAATGGCAGTGTATAGGGAGGGACAGGGGAAGATGTATTCAGTTATGCTTTAAATTTTTTTTTCTCTGCAGTTCATGAAACAAAGAAAAAATTTTAGCTTACCCAGTAATAATGCAAGTGGCTATGATCTGAAATTAGTGCCCTCTTAGATATGGTGAAACAGTGGACAGAGTGCCAGGCCTGGAGTCAGGGAGACTCATATTCCTGAGTTCTAATCTGCCTCAGCCACTTACTAACTGTGTGACCCTGGGCAAGTCACTTAACCCTGTCTGTCTCAGTTTTCTCATCTGTACAATGAGCTGGAGAAGGAAATAGCCAACCACTCCAATATATCTGCCAAGAAAACCCCAAATGGGGTCATGATGAGTTGGACACAACTGAACAAAAACTAGACATAATGGAGAGATTTTTATGCTTCTATCATCTCTACGGGATTAAATACTCATTTTAAATTCAGGAAGATAAGTCAATAACTTGGTTAAATAGTTTAGTAGGTAATGAAATGTACTTTTTCCACATTCAAACTGTAACTTGGGCTCTAATTTGAGGTTAAAGAGTTATTAGAATACTTTTCAAAGACTGGTTACATTATGGAACCAATAAATATGTATTTAAAATCAGTCATGAGGGTCTTTGAAAAAGAAAAGATACTCTTGGAGAGAGAAAAAGCAGCATCTGAAATCTCCATATTAAATACTGCACCAAGGGCCCACTGGAGAATCATGTGACATTCTCCAGTTCTCCAAAGACAGGATACAGAACCCAGCTGAAACTGTATGTCCCGACCTCCCCAGCCATAAGGTTGAATTATAGTCCAATTAGCTGGAGAAAATGGGGTTTTGTCTCCATCTCCTCCCCAGAGAGGCAAAGGTAAAGCTGGAATTATAATTTGCTGGACAACCCTGTCTGAGAGTGTCTCTCCCACCAGTCCCTGAAGCAAACACTCGTATGTAA